GTCTCAACCGGATGTTGCGATCCTGGGCGGTGGTGGTAATTCCAGGTCGACCTGACCTGGGTCTGTCATTAACACTCCCAGTATCGGGTCCGTAGGTTTGAGATGGTCTGTCTGGACACGCTGAAGTGCCTTATCACATCATGCTGCGATGTCCGTCCTTGTAAACGGCCGAGCTTGTAAACATCTGAGATTCTGTCAGTCTTTTCATTCTCTTGTCGTCTATAGTGGCTTAAAGCAATGCATATGCAGTACCATTGATGTGGCCTTTTAAAGCCTACAGCCATAGGCTTCAGCTCAGGGCGATACACAATTTCATGATGCTCGTGCATTTCATGTAGGGTGCGTTTTAGCGATTCACTACAGACGTGAGTGCAACGTTACATTTTTGTTAAACGTTTCTTTTTTTAAACGTTTTGTCGTCGGCAACCATTCCCCCACATGCTGGGATTCAGCATGGATTGGTTTGTGTCAAATATTTTCCTAAAATTCAGGGGTCGGTCCTAGGGCCGGTCCTGTTCACACTGTACATAACAGAGCTCGGAAGCGTAATTGATGATCACCGTATGAATCGTCATCACTATGCAGATAAAGCACAGGTTTACAGATGCTTCACTCCTGACAAGGACCAAACAGATATTGCCTCGAGAGACATGTCCCAATGCTGTGTCAGTATCAAATCCTGGATGCTAGTAAATAAACTATAATTGAATAGCAGCAAGACCGAATCTATTCTCGTGGGTCCAGTGAAACGGAGGGATCTGTGTGCTATTGATTCCTTCGAGATCAAGTCTTGGTGTAATCCTGGACTCAAATTTGTCACTTGACAATCATGTCTCTAAGCTAGTTAAGACCTGTTTCATCTCACTCCGGAACGTTGGCAACATCCGTCAATACCTGAAAACTGGAACTGCAACAACTCTTGTTCTATCCCTTGTCATGAGCAGAATTGACTATTGCAACTGTCTGTTGGCCTGCGCAAGTCTCAGATACGAAAGCTACAAAGAGTCCAGAATGTAGCAGCCCGCAAGATCCAGGAAGAATGATCATATTACTCTTCTATACTTTCTACACTGGTTTCCCGTGGATTTCAGAATTGAGTTTAAACTTCTCTGCCTTGTCTTCCGCTGTCTGTCTGGAACTGCCTCTACTTATTTCTCCAGTCTTATTTCTCTGTACAAGCCTTCTCGTTCGCTCCGTTCACAAGATAAAAGTCTTCTTCTTGTCCCTAAAACAAGAACAGTGCAGTATGGAAACAGATCCTTTGCCTATGCAGCACCAGTGGCCTGGAACAAACTTCCACAGAATCTCAGGGACTGTACTGACTTTGTCACTTTCAAATCCCACTTAAAAACACATTTGTTCAGGACAGCCTTTTCAACTATAAATGTGTAATTTGTTACATTCTATCTGCGCGTTGAGCATGGACTGCAACGATACCAGCGCATACCAACTGTGTTATGATGATGATGGTGATGATGATGATGATGATCATCATCATCATCATCATTTTATTTGAGAATACATTCATTTTATGAACGAAATTTACGTTTACCAGTAGTGTATATAAACAATGATAAGTGCATTTGGGATATGATTACATGTACCGTTAGTCACCTCCTACGACAAGAATGGCTTGCTGAAGAACAATTCTAACCCGGGTCTTCTCGGCTACTTTATCTGTGTGATTACTGTATCGGTTGTTTGGACCATGTTTACAAAAAGAACCATAAACATGCAACTCCTTCATGTGAGAAGGCATTTCTTTGACATGGACAGGAGAGAGCATGAAGAAAATGAACTTGTAACGTACGTAACCGTGACCGTGAATACACAATGTCATTCAGAAAGTGGCCAAATGTAACACATGTAATATTTTCATGATTAAACTTTCACAGTAAAGTAGAAATTCTAGTACTTGTGTCGGGTTGGGTCCAATTCGGGATTCCAGATATAACGTGCTATAACGTCATGTAACCGGATCTGGGTAGGGGTTTGGTTTTAGGTCCATATCATGCTGGTTGTAATAAAAAAAACACCATATGCACACGTTAATAGTGTGTTTCTTTATGTTACTATTCTTAAATTGATAATGAAAAGATCTGGTGATTAAAAAAAAATACTTCATGGTTCATTAGTTCAGGCAATAAGAATTCATCTATTACATATAATATTTCACGACTAATGCATGTATGAATGTAATTAACTGCTCATTCATCGGCATTCTAGAAGTTTGTAAGTACAAAATGAAGCATAACAACTAAAGGTAGATAACCATGCCAAGGACAATGGTGACTCACCCTGCTTTTGCTACCGGCTTGGACCCCAACTGGATGGCGATTGTAGTTAAATTTAGCCTAAGATCAAAATCACACATTTTCTGTAATCGAGATACGTAGTATAAAAATACTTTGCATGAAATTGGACTTACATACCCTCTCAGGAGGACAATAATTTTATGCTATTTTAACTCCCTTGGAAGGTATTGTCACTAACAGTCGACAGTTATTTATTCATTCTAACAAATTAAAATGCATTTATTATTTACAATAAAAGATCATAATTTATCATTAAAATCCATTGCTTTTACAAATGCAATAATAAAATATTGGAAATATTGATCCCTTGCCATGGAAAAATCAATACAGTCAAGCAGGGCATCACAATGGATACTGAGGATCCTGACCTTTCAATACATACTCATGAGTATACCTGCTGTGGCCAATGCGACACCCCTTCAAATCTTGACTGACAACCCAGATAGGTGTAGCTGATTGTGGGTTAGTTTTATGTAGTTTATTGACCCCAAATTGGGTGTCCTACTTTTTTTGCATTAGATCCCGTGTGTAACATCTAATGAAAAATTTAGAATCACTGTATGGGATAAGAAGTGTTGTCACATATTTGTTAAGTGCTGCTTCAGCTGCAGCATCAGCCATCGTGTTACCAACGATTCCAACATGGTTGGATAACCAACAAAAGACGATGTTGTATTGGCCAATAATTTCAGTTAAAAGTGGATGATCAGAAGTCAGGTCTTTAATAGCCTGAAGGCACGAAAGCGAGTCTGAAAATATTGTTGAAAATATATTGTTTATATTTGGGATGTTTATTAATATATTTAAGAGCTGTTAATAAGGCGTTTGCCTCGGCTGTGAAGATAGAGCTGTTATCCGATAATCTAGAAGATATTGTTCTTGATTCAATGACAGTGGCACAAGCCACTGGGCCACCATCCTTCGCTCATCTGTAAATAAAGGCGTGTATGCATTATATTTACTTTTTAACTTTAGAAGCGTCAGCGTGAGGCTTTAAACTACATTCAGACCAACTAATGGCAGCGACCTCATGGCCTTGACCTATTCTCGGAAATTAAGAAAGCGACAGGAGAGCTCCTGACAGTTTGTGCAAGGTTAGCCATGGTTCTATGACTGAGATAGAATCTTTGATATCTAATCATTGGTAGTTCGCAAAATGTAAGAGTAGAGTCCGTGTTGTAAGAACTTAGATACTGTTGAATTTTGTGCCCTGTCAGCTTTACGATTTCACGCACCTCTACGCCTGCGTGCGACAGAAGAGGTACTGTGGTGGTTCTTACACACTCATCTCCAATCACTGGATCGTCCAGCACACTTCTCTACTCCCTGAGCCATATAAAACACTTTGTTTCAATCGTTTCAGAGTAAGTGAGTGAGTTTAGTTTTACGCCACATTCAGCAATATCCCATCTATTTGGCGGCGGTCTGTAAATAATCGACTCTGGACCAAACAATCCAGTGATCAACAGCATGAGCATCAATCTGCGCAATTGGGAACCGATGACCACCCGATCCTGATAAGCATGGGTTACTGAAGGTACATTCTAACCCGGACCTTCACCGGTCCCTAGTTCAATTTTGAAGAGTGCATTATTTGCATCAAAGGAACATTGTTAACAGCTTTGTTCCGCGCTAGTCTTCATGAGAAGATGAAGCCCAAGTGTAATAAGTGTATGTCTTATCTATATTGATATACAACAATGATGTTTATATATGTCTTCTAAATGTATATTTTCTCTGTAATCCAACATGGGAGCAGTGGGGTAGCCTAGTGGTTAAAGTGTTCACTCGTCATCCCGAAGACCCTCATTGTACATTTTTGTATACGATATCTTTCAAGTTAAAAAAACGTTCTAGGATAATTTTGAAGAATTTGCCATGAACACCTTTCCTTAATATAAATATATTCCTGCAATTAAACGCTTTGTTGTAGTTGGCGTATAAACAATGAAAGCGTCCATTACGTTTCCATCGATATGGAATCAAACTCCTTTGTGAATGCTTATTTGGGAGGAAAGTGAATAGTTTGACAAATATGCCATCACGTCGTCTCGTGATCCTTTACTGAAAACTCAAAAGTATAAATCATAGTCACACGGTTTCATAACACTTCAACATTTCTGGTAAAGGTCCACAGTTGCAACCCTTTTCCGTTTTGTAAACGTGTGATAACATTACATATGTCATCATCACTTATTTCATTAATTTACTATTTATATCATCGTCATCAAAAACGTCACTTGTTGACATCACATGATCACTGTTCACAGAAAGATCTTTATCACTAATGCCATTAAATTCAGACTGTATTCCAGTCGTCAGCTTATACATTTGGGCCTCTGTCTTTGTTGTAATTTGATAGTTCTTTGACTTGTTTCACAAAATGTAGTTTTAGAACTTAATGCTTGTATGTTTTCGTATTCATTCTTCCCGTTACTTCCCGTTTTGAAAAGACTTGCTGAAATAACAAAACGTAAAAAACCACTCTTGGTCACTAGCAGTTTAAAGCATCATATGTTTCACGTTGTCACACCACACTGCATACCACATTCTGAACCTGAACACGTCCAAATATATTCAGCGCTATATACTTTCACTCAATATCAGGAGCAGTTGCAGTCACGCACTAGTAACCTAGTCTTTTTTCTTGTAGTGCCCATTAATCTGTCTGTCTCCTCCCTCCCCAACACCGGAACATGGTTACCCTACACAGCTGAGGTGGATTGGGATTGACAGTGATTGCGTAATCACAGAGTGAGTCTCCATTCCCCAAGGTTAGATTCCTGTACAATTGCTCAGTACGGTCAGCTCGACATTTACCTCAGGCGGCCTTGAACGTGAAATACATGGACTGATCTAGTCTGTGACCTACATACACAGCTCAGCACGGTGTAGGCTTGAAGGGTGTAACACAGATCTCGTCGTTTGCTGTTCACTCTAAGAAGCACACAACGATTATGTAAGTTTTCTTATTCATTGTTTCGCATCGAGTTCTGACTGACTGTTAACGGCTGCATTATGTCCTGGTCTTGCCATGGTACGTTCTGATTAGTCATGTGCATGTATTTCTCGTTCAGTTTCCATGCAGCATTGAAGTTTGTCTGGCTGAGGCAAAGCAGTGATTACGGCAATGTTTCACTCTATCTAGCGAACAAGCCCGCATATCACTCCATCCAATTCATGTGTTCATTTGCCATACAGGATAACATGGTTTAGCTATCACCCAAACAGAATGTGCTGTTGTCAGAGAATGACAACAGGGATAGATCTTAGTTTTCATTTAGGCAAAAGCTGTTCTTAAATTGCTCGACTTGGAAAAGCACAAAAGTATGCTTACTGTGTAAACGGCGGAAATACTATGCTGTCTATTTTAACAGTTTTTTCAAATTCTCAAAGAGAAATGTCTTACAGAATAGAAAACCATGGACTTTTCAACGACGTCACTGCTGCTTGTCGTCAATATTGCAATCCTCGCCATCATCGTCAGTGTCTTCGTCTTACCTGAGGACGACAAAAGAGTTCTATCTCCCGACCTGAGAACGTCTTATGACTATATCATAGGTAAACTTGATATATTCAGGTATTTCTGAAGTTCATTTTCAAATGACTGCTATATCATCATTTTGGTTATTGCAGTACTGAATTGTTTCAATAATGGTTGTAGAATAAAATCATGTTAACATTGTATTATGTAGCTCAGTTTTGGCAGCACTGTTTCAAAGACCACGGGAAATGATATGTAATTCTGTTTTGTGTATAAGTAGGGAGGTACATTCATTTTGTACATACAATTCATTGTTCGAGGACTAACGTGATCGCTGACTTGGTTGACACATGTCATCGGTTCCCAATTGCGCAGACTGATGCTCATGCTGTTGATCACTGGATCCAGTCTCGATTATTTACAGACGTTTAAACACGTTTTCACGGATGTACAATGAAAATGCATTGATCTTCAGCTCAAGGTGTATGTGCAGAACGTGAGCAGACATAGAAGCACACAGCATACCCCATCAATTAAGTTGTAACATACATACATACATACATACATACATACATACATACAGACACACATACATACATACATACATACATACATACATACATACATATACAGATACAGACACACACACATATATTCATACAGACAGACGCACGCACGCACGCACACACACACAAACACACATACATACATACATACATACATACATACATACATACATACATACATACATACATACATACATACATAAATGATATATACATAGCACAAAACATGGATTATTCCGCAATGATACGGGGACAGTTGTCAAGGAAATATCAATATAAACCTAAAGTCGTCTTAAATAATGTTATCGCACACATAAGTGTTTGTCACACATTAAAATGCCTGCAACTGGTACAGACCCTACCCGGCAGGGCGTGTCAGCAAGTCCTGTACCCTATCTCTTGCCACCCCTGCCGCAGACCGTGCCCATTCTATCAGCGTCTGCTTATCGACACTGCTGCGATGGATGTTGGGTTGAATTACGATCAAGTGTAAACAGATATCATTTATAAGACAACATGGGATGGAATGTTTTGGATTGTGATTGTACCAACCAGGGTGCCGTTCCACTAACCGATCTTAGCCCTATGCCAATCGTAAACCCCTAAAATCCCAATCTTAGCGTGACGTTACGATCGGCATACCGTTCCACTAACCAATCTTACCCAAGTCAATCGTAAAGTTAAGATTCAAAGTCTAAGTTGCTCATGACCAACTTAGGATAGCTAAAATCAATCGTAGAGAAACCAAAATGGTAGCTTTCCTATTCTGTGTGCAAAATAAGAGCGAGCATTTCACCGTGAGCGTCCCCTAAAGTCCCCCATGAAATGAATTTGTATATTTCTGTGATGTAAACAAACACTGCACTGAAGCCTTACAAATGTCAGGCCAGTCTGACCACTGTCGTCATGGGAACACAACCGAGCGTGTCGGTATAACACATTTATACAACAGTATTGCAACGTCATGGTTAAGAATAGGGACAGCCGTAAAGTGAACAATGTTCTGAAGCAAAAAGATACAAATATGTTTGATTTCACTGCGCATATTTGGTGGGGGATTCTAAAGGCAGGCCGCGTGTTATTCAAGACCACTGACAGATTCTACATACGTTATAGCCTCGTCACGCCTTGTTTATTCTGATTGACAAGGTTAAGGCACATATTAAAAGCTCTGACACAATTGACATTTTTAAAGTCCAGACTTAAAACATGTTCTCTGTATATTACTTATAATCTCGGCTGTAAATATTCTCGTGTAAATTAGCTGTACACAGCGCTTTGAGCATGCCCAAGGATGTGGAATAGGCGCACTATAAATATGCATTTATTATTATTATATTATGCTTGATACCCAGCGTTCACACGCACTTGCACCTGAAACCAAGGTGCTCACTACCCTAATATTTTGCTCTAGGTTTTTTCTCCACGTTTACACTTGGTTGGAAAAATACCCATGAAGGCCCGGGTTAGAATATTGAACTTCAATAACCCATGCCTGTCGTAAGAGGCCACTAACGGGATCGGGTGGTCAGGCTCGCTGACTTGGTTGACCAATGTCTTCGGTTCCCATTTGCGCAGATCGATGCTCATGCTGTTGATCACTGGATTGTCTGGTTTAGACTCGATTATTTATAGCTAAGATACATAGCGTTCACTAACATGAACGCTCATGTTAGTGGACGCTATGCATCTTAGCTAGATTATTTACAGACCGCCGCCATATAGCTGGACTATTGCTGAGGGCAACGTAAATCTAAACTCACTCACTCACTCAGTTGGTTCGTAAACTACTTCCATCATTTGCTAGACTATGCAAAGGGAGATAACTCGTGCCTCGCATTCCTCTATCTCTCGCACGAAAGAGTCTCAATCTAAGCTTGGATCGGATCGTAAGATCGGGACCGGCTACGATCGGCCTAAGATCGGTTAGTGGAACGGGTGTAACTTTTAGCTAAGACGATTGTAAAATTGGCGTAACTTGCTAAGATTGATCTTAGTTAAGATCGGTTAGTGGAACGGCACCCAGGTCTTAAATGTGCTACTTGTCACTTATTACTGCAAACGACATCTGGGGATAATGTGGACGTGGTTCCCTACATACATACATTCATACATACACACACATGGGGAGTGATATTAAAAATTCTGATACTTTTTCTGAATATGACTTTATTTAATATGATTAGAGTAACTTCATTTTACTTTACGTAACTGGAGTGGTGGGGTAGCCTTGTGGTTAAAGCGTTGGATCGTCACGCATGGGTATGATGTGTGAAGCTCATCTCTGGTGTCCCCGTCGAGGTCAAATGGTGAAATAGACTCTTCCGTCTGCCATGTGATGTAAAAAGTGTTGATATGTAAAATTGTAAATCTCGGGAGTACGAGGGTATTTGGCAAATATGATCATGCCCTCATAATCTTAACAAACTTCATACTTGAATATACACTTTGTTCTTGACGAAATAACAAGAACAAAAAAACAACAGGCATAATGTTTTATTCAGACATTCTTCATGAGAACATATTTCTGTTAATGAAGCTGATATGTGATGAATTTCCATTAGTTTCATTTTAAAACAAGATGGCCGCCGTGTCTGACCGCCCTGTAATAAGGTACTGTAACACTATATTCTATGTCACAGTAGGGGCAGGGTCTGCGGGATCTGTTCTGGCGTCCCGGCTGTCCGAGAATGGTCACGTGAATGTCCTGCTGATTGAAGCTGGTGGTGATGACCGAAACCAAGAGACACTGGACGTTCCTCTGCTGGTAGCCTTGAGCCAGAAAGGAATATTGGACTGGGCCTATTTGACCGAACCCCAGCAACATGCTCATTCAGGACTAATAGAAAAGGCAAGGTCAACAAATACGTCTCTGATAGGGCAGCACTGCGATGCATGCTATTTCTGTGAAGGTCGACCATTCAGTAACTATTAGATAATGTATCCAGGCACATACGGTTGTGTTCATACATATTATTGGCGTTGAAACATTTGTGACTGTACATTCCCAGTTTCTTAGTGTGATGTTAGGCATGCTCTTTCTAAAAACATTTCAAATTGCGTGATACAACACTTCCTAAGATATCAAGGTTGCAACATTAAAGTAAGGCTTTCTTACTCATTTTGGGAGACAAGTGGAAGACATTTCCAGGTGTGACGAATCAGTGAACAACTGACTTGCTTTGTGTTTGTTTCGAGTGCAAGGGTACGGCAGCATATGCTCTCCTCTTGGCGAGCCCGTGGTAATATTGTAATTCATAGAAACATTTGATTTAGATTTTTGCAGAGAATTCTTTGTGAATGTCAAAAGGTTTTGTCGCTTTAACGACAATGGTCATGTCTTAACCAGTTTTGCAGCCGTGTTTTAGTTTGAATTCCATGTACTCATTTCATTCCTGTTCAGTGAAATATATGTATTTACTTGATGTCCCCTTGACGTATACACGGTAAGAGATATTATTATCTTCTGTATCTACCGGTGAATAGAGAACAATTATAAGATTAAGTGATAATTTATATCAGTACTTCGGCAAATGATTTACAGAGGGGAGCATGGCCACGTGGTAAAGTCTTGGGAGGAAGCAGTCAGTTAAATTATATGCAGTATGTCAGAGGTCATCGCCATGACTACGATAGCTGGGCAGCCAATGGATGTGAAGGATGGAGTTACCAAGATGTTCTCCCGTACTTCAAAAAAGTCGGAAGACATACAAATTGAGAGATTAAAAAACTCAGGTAAGTGTTATACCATATTCATTTCTGTATTACATATTACGACGTTCTTAAGTCAATATTACTAACAATATCATATCGAACAATGTTCGGTGGAAAGCCCAAAGTAACACAGGCTCTTGACCTTAACCACTTAGCAGAATCAGTGCATGTTGAGTAACGAGAAAGACAGCAATATCCCTGCTATACAACTAGAAACGCGTGGATATCATGATTCAATACCACTGGATGTACGATCGATAAAATCGTGAAACTATGGTCCGTTCACTGCAAAATCGTACCAACGATAGATTGACTATACGTCCGAAAGCGACGATTAGTAATAAATGGCATTGAAAGTCAAGCATTCGGTCATACTAACTGGTCACAGTGATCTCATCCATTGTTAAATAACCTTTCAGGAACTTGTGTTAATGCATGCAGCGACCAGTGTGTGTGTACTATATAACAACAGCTGAGGCTATCACGGATTAAAGGGTAGTCTCAAAACTTCTGTTCTGTAATATAGTCGTTGTCACTATCACTGTCACTGTCAACTGACATAACAATTTGACTACATCATCTTAACCACTCCACGTCAATGTATGAAATGTTGGTGATGAGTTGTTTGTAGATTTGGGCTAACTTATAGATTACGAGGTTTACGATTACAGACGCCCATAATGATGGGAATGACTTCACTAAAACTAGGATTGATTTATCAGAGAACAGCTTAGAGGTGTATCCCTCTAACGCGAAGACGGTTCCTTCAATTTCGGATATACAATCGGATAGGACAAGACAAACCTAAATCCAGAAATAAGGCCTGTTTTATCACTATTAATAGGAGAAGACCTTCCATGTTTCTTCTTTTTAAACCGTTAAAACAACCTTTAAACTATCACATACTACATTCACGCTGGTTTTCCCTATTGTATTTAACATCACGTAAAAGAATTCGTAACAGAGATAGTTTCAGCTATTTATCATTCCTTTCAAGAATATCATGGTCAAGGTGGCCCGCTGGTTGTGACAGAATCGAGTTCAATACCGCTCGCTGATTACTTCGTCAAAGCGGGAATTGAACTCGGGTACAAGGAAACAGACTACAATGGAGAAAATCAGGAAGGCAAGTGTCTGAATGCGAATGACTATATACGAGTGTGTGTAGTTTTGCATCAGTTTGCGTGTCTTTTCCATTCTGGAGAGGCACTTGGTATCAGTTTCAGGTATTAGTTTCAACTAAATTTGTAAAAGCACCCTCGTATAACTGGATTGTCTGGAAAATACATTACGTCGTGTAAACGTGTACAGTGTTACTCTGCAGTGAAAATAGCATGCAATTCAAGGTGAGTGAGATACAGTGTTTCCATGTGGAAAATATGTACTGCACTGTCAGCATGAAAACGGGACGCGGATCCACGATTAGGTGTCCTCGTCGGGACAAAGCTTCGATTTCGGGCTTTTATGAGCTTTTTATCGGCTTGTGTACACTTTCCTATTCTGGAGAGTCCATGGAGGTCCCTGTTCACCTGTAGGTGTGGCTCTGCGACTGCTGACCTGTTTGTCTGCATACCAATCTCTCTCTTGTGACACTCTTTTTGTAGTTAGCCAGTCAGCTAGTTTTTGTGTCTGGATATATATATATATACATCTGTGCAATTAAAGGAGTTCAATTTTGTAACCGTATTTGGTAATTATCTCTGTCAACTTGAATTGTAAATAGTTCCGCAGCAATCATCGGACTCAACCATTCCTGACAACATATGAATTAAATCTGCAAAAACTATCTTGCACATTGCCAGACAGCCCTGACGTTTTCAGGGTTTAGCAGATCGCAGGTTTCAGTCGGGAATGGTGAACGAATGAGTACTTCAAAGAGGTTCCTGTGGCCAGTCATAGACAGACCCAACCTGCATGTCCTGGCCAACGGTCACGTCACGAAGGTAGCGTAAACGACCCTTCCACCTTCTTAAGGACACACACACACACACACACACACACGCACATACTTTAGTTCAAAGTGGCCCACAGCCATGTCACAAAAGTAGTTTATTACGGTCGATGTATCATATGAATTGCATGAATTACTAACGTTTCGTTTCACAAATATGTAAATAATGACACAGTGATCTAAAACATTCGGACGACAGTAGGAAATAGGCAAAGAATAAACAGCACTTACAAACATTACCAGTCAAATAATACCCATGTTGTTACAGGTAATGATTGAAAATAAGCAGGCAGTTGGAGTCGAGTATATCAAAGATGGCCGTCTCCACAGAGTGAGCGCATCAAGGGAGGTAATCCTGTCAGCTGGTGCAATTGGGTCGCCGCAGTTGCTGATGCTGTCTGGGATAGGGCCAAAGAAACATTTGGAGGAGATGAAGGTAAGAAATATCAGCGATCTCATGCAGTTTATTCAAATTACTAACTTGACTTGCTGTTCTCACCACGAATATCACAGCTGTAAGTTTGTTTGTTGTTATCCAACATAATTATTATCAATGCAAGAGGAAAACAACAACAGTTACTCGTATTTAAATAGACGGATTCCATTTGGCATAATGACAAAATAACTATTCAAATTTTATGAATGGGTAACTGAAATGTAAATTAAGTAATGACACCAGGTGTTCGCTAAAAGACCTTGTTCATCCAGTCTCGTTTTTAAGGTAGGATGACACGAAATTCCATATATGTGTGTTTGGCTATGTACGTATGTTGGTTCGACCAAACTACTTATGTCTAAGAGCACAGACATATTCAAACTTAACTATATATGAGATTTACCAGTCCTCTGTGGTCGTGTCCCTGGTCACTATACTCCTAAACATATACTGTCCTTAAATGTATTCGAGAATGTAACTTCAACGATGAGATTCTTTAACCCCAAGTAAGCAAGATACCAGTGCAGAATCTCTATTTAAAATACTAAGATCTGATGTGATTACCAAGTTGTCATCGTTGTCCATTGAACCAACATGAGAATTCTTGTACATATTACTTGTAATATTCAGCTAATGTATTCAACACTCTATCTGGTATTTCATTTCCCTGAGGAGACACTAGCTTACAGGCAACTATGATAAAATTCTTGCAGGTAAATATCAAATTATTTTTACAAAACCCATCGCAATTAGACTTAACAGCACCGCGACCTTCTGATTTAAGGTTTCCGGAAATATTGTCCTGGTGATACTACAACTGGTTCCGCTGCAGAGGCGCTGTTCTTCTTGTTTCGTATTTTTCATCTGACCTCCTTGTCTTTGTTTCTTTCCTGAACCAATCAAGTCATTTGAGAAATCAGGAATGTACAGTTTCACAATTGCAGAGTTTAATCAACACTTGAGTAATGCAAAAGATGGCTTTTTGTTCCCATAAACAAACACAACAATATCGTCAATTTACTAACATTATATTTCCGATTAGAGTAAAGTGTCTTCCACACATCATAGTTTAACAAAGTGAGCACTGGTCCAGTCCATCCACTACCCAAGAACATTGTGAGCGGGACCACATGAAGTATTACAACATATTTCATTAGACACCTTACCTCCCATCCTTTAGCTGACAAATGACCTTCTACGTCAGCAGAACCCACTTCGAACCCCAGAACACTTCGAATGTATTTTGTGCATGATTGTGGTCAAAAGCATTGGGTGCTCGATCCCCTGTTTTGTCACCCGTTAAACACGTGTTTGGTGAAACAGAGCTATGGAATTACTTTCATCGACATTTAAAGGCATCAGTGGGACGAAGGTGACAGGGCTGCATTAATGCACAAGGTAGACACGCTCGCTATTGACCGTGTGAACTTGCGTATGTACCATAACGCCAGAAACGTTTTAACACTGATTCTGTTTGATTTTTGTGTGTCACAGTTACTTTTGCGTTTGAGTAGATTTCTTGTTCGGGCGAGTACAACTGCGGAAACAAATTGCATATTTGACCGTTTTTAAAATTATATCAGATCATTGATATAACTCATTCCTATGCTGAACTGCGAGGCCATTATTTGGCGAAGCCGAGCAGAAATTCCTACTCATTAGCATTGAGGAAACAGAACACCTGGAACAGGAGGACAGTTTGTGCCTATGGTATCTATTTCTTGCCAAAACATTCAGATCCCGAAATATCACATAGAAACAAGTAGCACTATATTTTTATCTCAGTAAACCTCAGATTATAATTGCTTAATCCTTGTCAAACTGTCTTGAGTGTATGTAACTGTAGCTATGGTCGCCATGCTCCATGATTCTCTGAGGAGACTAGAGAAATGTCATATTGACTTGAGTGTATGTAACTGTAGCTATGGTCGCCATGCTCCATGATTCTCTAAGGAGACTAGAGAAATGTCAGATTGTCTTGAGTGTATGTAACTGTAGCTATGGTCGCCATGCTCCATAGTGCTCTAAGGAGACTAGAGAAATGTCAGATTGTCTTGAGCGTATGTAACTGTAGCTATGGTCGCCATGCTCCATGATGTTCTAAGGAGTGTATGTAACTGTAGCTATGGTCGCCATGCTCAATGATGCTCTAAGGAGACTAGAGAAATGTCAGATTGTCTTGAGTGTATGTAACTGTAGCTATGGTCGCCATGCTCCATGATGCTGTAAGGAGTGTATGTAACTGTAGCTATGGTCGCCATGCTCCATGATGCTCTAAGGAGAGTATGTAACTGTAGCTTTGGTCGCCACGCTCCATGATGCTCTAAGGAGTGTATGTAACTGTAGCTATGGTCGCCATGCTCCATGATGCTCTAAGGAGTGTATGTAACTGTAGCTATGTCGCCGTGCTCCATGATGCTCTAAGGTATGTAACTGTAGCTATCGCCGTGCTCCATGATGCTCTAAGGAGTGTATGTTACTGTAGCTATGGTCTCCGTGCTCCATGATGCTCTAAGGAGTGTATGTAACTGTAGCTATGGTCGCCATGCTCCTCTAAGGAGTGTATGTAACTGTAGCTATGGTCTCCGTGCTCCATGATGCTCTAAGGAGTGTATGTAACTGTAGCTATGGTCGCCATGCTCCATGATGCTCTAAGGAGTGTATGTAACTGTAGCTATGGTCGCCGTGCTCCATGATGCTCTAAGGAGTGTATGTAACTGTAGCTATGGTCGCCACGCTCCATGATGCTCTAAGGAGAGTATGTAACTGTAGCTATGGTCGCCACGCTCCATGATGCTCTAAGGAGTGTATGTAACTGTAGCTATGGTCGCCATGCTCCATGATGCTCTAAGGAGTATATGTAACTGTAGCTATGGTCGCCATGCTCCATGATGCTCTAAGGAGTGTATGTAACTGTAGCTATGGTCGCCATGCTCCATGATGCTCTAAGGAGTGTATGTAACTGTAGCTATGGTCGCCATGCTCCATGATGCTCTAAGGAGTGTATGTAACTGTAGCTATGGTCGCCATGCTCCATGATGCTCTAAGGAGAAAAGAGAAATGTAAATGTATTACAATTTGTCTCCTTGCAAAGTGCTGTTAACTTGCTTTGATATAACTGAACCTGCTTCTTTTCTGCTAATGCTGAGGTTTAAACTAACTCTTCAAGGTTTTGAGAGTTTGGATGGTGTTATGTATTTATTAAACGTTTTCAAATGGAAAGAAAACTCTTTCTTCGTTGTGCTAAAGATTATCATTTATATTTGAGACAGGCACTTGGTGATGAACCTACGCTGAACGCAGCAATACATCTCTCTTGGTTCGGGTTTTATGGCGCTTTGGAATCCAAAAGTGGAATAGATATATGCTTAGGCCTCAGAATCGTGACAAAAGTTCACAGTGTGTAAGCAGGGATTTGGCAGATTTCATCCTTAGTTAACATTTTCGGCCCGTTTGTTAATGTTACTGATACATATGCTTTGATAATACACGCCTTAGTCGATAGCCCTTTCCAATCAGTGATGAAATAAGGTAAATTGCTGTTACATTTTGCGAACAACTGGTATCACTACTTTTTAATTCATTAACCATGTGCTCACGGTATGGTCCGAAGTGTACTGTGGACTCCAATGAGTACATATAATAGTGAAAAGAGGCTGTCACTTTAATTGATTATTGCAATATATGTACAGATACCAGTTCAAGCAAACCTCCCAGTTGGTGAAAGCTTACATGATCATCTGTTCGTCCCCGTGGTGTCGACAATTCAGAAGCCTATTTCCCTCACGGAAAAGAAAAGAGACTCAACACTGACGTTAATGGAATATCGTGTACTCAAATCAGGTATGTTTTTATTTCTTTAACGTATATGAATCACAAAGCTGGTACTCTCATGAGATAGACATTATTCAGATTCTGACTTTGAGGACGTTTGTCAACGTTCTCATTTTTCTATCAGCTTTGGGAACTTTAATACCATCTCCTTCTGTTTCAGCTGTGTATCCGAAGTGTAATTCCCATATCAATCCCATGTACATCCGAACAAAATACAGAAAATATAGAAAAAAACACAGCTCAAATATAAATTAGAATGCCACTGTTTTAAAGAGAGATGTAAACAATTTAATCGATACGTATCTGTGTGGCCTGCAAGGCAACCACATTTTGACAGGCGAGTGAATAGCATTGACAAAGCTTATGACATGCCTTTAACTGTAGGTCTCCTCACATCAAGCGGAGCTTTAGAAGCCACTGCATTTCTCAAGACCAAATCAGAGGAGCCAAGTCCAGACATTCAGCTTCAGTTCTACTGTGCTTATATGGATCTAGCAGGGGTGATGAACATTGACCAAAAGGTAAGCATGCTTTTTCTTCTGTAGGAATCATTATCGGTCCTAACTATCCAAGAGTTTGGTTTGGGTGAGTTAGTGAGTTTAGTTTACGCCACACTTAGCAATATTCCAGCTATATGGCGGCGGTCTGTAAATTATCGAGTCTAGACCAGACAATCCAGTGATCAACAGCATGAGCATCGATCTGCGCAATTGGGAACCGATGACGTGTGCCATCCAAGTCAGCGAGCCTGACCACCCAATCCCGTTAGTCGCCTATTACAAGCATGGGTTACTGAAGATCAATATTCTAACCCGGACCTTCACGGGTCAGTTTGCTTTGGAATAAGAGCCGACGAAATTGAATGTGTATCCCGATTTCAAGACATGTAACCGTTGCATGAAGAATATAGGTGGAACATTGCAATGGGCAGACATGACATTTTAAGTATTTCTGGCCAGCTTTAGATCTCTGATCATACTTCTGTGGGTGCCATAAAGCGCCATAGCTGGTGTCATCAATGCATAGGCCTTATGGTTTCAGTGAAGGTATGACAGACTCACTGACTACACGCACTGCCACTAGCATGACTTGAAAAGTATAAACCATTTGCTTTTTGTTCAGATAGTCGATCATTTCAACTGGACATCAGCCCAAGAAGGATTCACAGCCTTACCAACTTTACTACGTCCAAAGAGTGTTGGAACAATCCGCCTAAGAAGCACCAACCCATTCGAGTATCCTGTCATCGACCCCAACTACCTGTCTCATCCAGATGACGTCAAGACTTTAATCAGAGGTGAAAACAATACCAGCTGTTAAGAATCTGAAAGGGTGAAGCAGCTACTTTTTTGACATATTGTTGGTAACAACTAGACCCAGTGTCTACTTACGTTCAGGCAACATCATTTATTAGGAATCTTGTAAATTTATCGAACCAAAACTTCTACCATCAAGGATGACAGATGTTAAGGTGGGGAATAGGGCATACTCATCTCGTGTCATCATTGTAACTTTACCATTGTTATGAGATTGAACTGACACATATGCAGTGTTTAATCTGTTTTCGAAATACATATTGTCAGGTTTAAATTAGTACAGGTCTCCATAAACAATACCTGGAACTATCCAGTAGATTATATCAGACATTTCCGTTTACCAGGAGTACGTGTCGCCCAGAAACTTCATCAGACCAAGGCTTTCAAAGAAATAGGAGCCAAGCTTAATGATAGGCGCTTCCCGACATGCACCACTATGAAGTACGACACTGATGCATACTGGGAGTGTTACATCCGGGCACTGGCCGTAACAGTCTACCATCCAACCACCACGTGCAAGATGGGGAAGCCAAGTGACCCCACTACAGTTGTTGATCCTCAATTGAGGTGGTTGAATTTTGAAATCTTTAAATTCGTTTTGACGTTTCATGGGGCATTTCTAAACATAAAATCTTTTTTCAGAGGTTCATTTGAAGTCAACTGAGAAAACAATTTTGGAAATGCTAGTCTTTCTCCTAATTTCCACAATTTTGGGATAAAACATTTCGACAAGAAGTAGGCATCTCCATGGGCACCTATTGTGCTTCCCAGCTTGCGGATCTGTTTCTTTATACATATGAATCAGATCTACTCGGCTTGGCAAAATCAAAACAAGGTAATTTGGCCAAGATGTTGATCTTAAGGGTCCGTTATATCGATGATCAAATATCGCTCTACAATCACCAAATAACCAATTCCTTTATACACTGATTTAGCCACCTGAACTAGTAATGTTCGTTGACGAAGGAAATAGTGTGTTAAGATTCCCAAATGACTAATGTCTGGTTGTTCCTGTGACATGTCTCAGCCGAATCTTGTAACATCAATGTGAATGTGTGTTTAAATGTTATATTTTACAGAGTAAAAGGTATTGCCGGACTGAGGGTTGTGGACGCCTCCATCATGCCGGCCGTCGTGTCAGGAAACACAAACGCACCGAGCATCATGATAGGAGAGATGGCAGCGGACATTATCAAAAGTGCAAAATAGGGCACACAAAAACATGCACAAGATGGAAATGTTAATTATCTTGAATGTAATAACCATGATTATACCTTCAGTTTTTTAAATGTATACATCATATGTAGTTCGGTATTTGATACAATAAAATATTAAAACAAGAAGGACATTATATTGGGTGAATCATTTGTATTTGAACACAAAGTCGAACCTGATTTTGACTGATATCGCCCCAGTTGCGCACGTCATTTAAATTGCCATTAACAATGATGAGTTCTGTTCTCCTAAGACTTTTGATGCCAACACATCCAATTACACTTGCACTTCAAAATGATGACGTTGTGTAACGCAAACAACAATGGGAGGTGCTATGTTCTCCTGGACGCCTGTAGACCATTGTTGGACCATAGGTGCTGGTCAAAGAAAACCTTGACTCCGATGTTAGGCCTAGGTGAAGGTCACGTTAAAGTCAAAGATTGGAGTCACAGAATGATGTGTTGTTAACTTTCAACCGTTTGCGTACGGCTTTGAAACTAATTGGTCTCAACACAAGGCTTGCTGTTTGTTAATGTGACAGTCTGGTATCGATAAGCTGCATCAACCGAATATGGTTTTCTTAACGACAGGTAGACGACGGCTTGTGTCAAGACATGAGTGGTGCCCTGTTGTAGATAATGGTTAGTTGGTTTATTGTCTAACGCATCGTTCTACGCCATTGGGATACAATGACATGTGTCAGTCAGGTCAGCGAGCCTTACCATCCGATCGCGTTAATTACGACAAACTTGGGTTACTGAAGAACAGATGTTCACGGGTTCTGTATATAATGTCTCCGGAGAAATTATATTCTGTTCCAATGGACATTGAAATAAATGTCTGCCAAGATTTTGTCCCATACCTGTTTGCAGCTTAGCATGTAAACGTTGATTTTTCAACATGCTGAGTCACTGCGTACGCACAATGCACGGTTGCACCAAGTGTTTATATGAGCAAGTGATAGCTAAACAATTATTGTGAGTTGTTCACATTGAAAATACACTTGTTTGAGTGGCATGCTTCCAAAACTGCGCGTAATACGTCACCATGCACCTAAGATTAAATCACATCAGTATCTGGGATATGTCTGCATGTTTATATATGACTATATAGTTAAGTGGGACTATTTTATTCCAGAATACATTCATTTTACGTTTACCAGTGGTTTATATATGCAATGATAAGTGCAAATGTCTTCTTACCTAAATGTTTATTGAGAAGTATGAAAGGCTCTGTACCTTCATGGCCTCGGGTTATGGGATGATCACTGCCTACTGCCCCCGTTGGAAATGCCTCCTGCACGAACTAATTGTTCATAAGATCGGGTGGGTGGCATCTCATGCACAAAAGTATAAAACAGTCCAGTTCAACGGTGCTTTTGTAACAGTCCTGTTGGAAACAGATATAGATATAGGTTCACTGGAACAGATGTATTTGAACAGTCCAGTCAGTTCGTTAATGTCTTTGGCACTCTTGATGCCGATGGGAATGTTGTTCCAGAGTGACTTTTTATGAAACACCAGTCGTTAATTGACATCCTTTTTGGTTTGACGAACAAGCAGACGCTGACTTCGACTTAACTTAGGTTCGTGTGTTTATTAACGCCGCACTCCGCAATATTTTAGCTGTATTACGTCGGTCTGTAAATAATCGAGTCTAGACCAGACAATCCAGCAAGCAACAGCATGAGCATCGATCTGCGCAATTGGGATACGATGACATGTACCGTTAGTCACCTCCAACGACAAGCATGGGTTGATGAAGACCAATTCTAACCCGTATCTTCGCGCATACTTTACCTGCGTGAATACTATAGCGAATGGGTGGAAGCCATCTTTACAAAAAGAACCACAGACATACAATTTCTTTATGTTATAGAGTCTGTTGCGTTGAGAAGGCTTCTTTCACATGGACAGGAGTGCCCATGAAGGACAGCGTTGGAAAGATCTAGTACTATACATAACCGTAAATACACAATGCCATTTAGAAAGTGGTCAAGCGTAACGCATGTTATTTTTTCATGATTACACTTTATCAGTAAAGTAGAGAATCTAGTACTCGTGTTGAGTCCCATTCAGGATTCCAAATATAACGTGTTATGTAACCGGATTTGGATAGGTGTTTGGTTTTGGATCCATATCATGCTGGCTGAAAAAGAATATATACACCATATACACAGGTAAATATTGTGTTCTTTATGTTACTAAACTCATATTGATAATGAAACATTAAAAGATAACAAAGATGTACTTCATTGTTCATTAGTTCAGGCAATAAGAACTCACTCTTTACATATATTTCCCGACTAATGCATTATGGGTATAATAACACAACTCATTTGTTATTGTTTGCCAGCATTTAAGAAGTTGGTGAGTCAAAAATAAGCATACAACCCATTGGATGACATCTTCCTGTTTCGTTCACAGAGTGAGGTTTTGATGTAAACTCTTACACCGTTATCAAGCTATTGATTGTGTTGTCTGCCACGTCTCCATATAGACGTCTTACTGATTGGTTGGTCGCCATTCTAGAAGTTGGTGCTACGTCCTTTACATGGACATGACGCTTTCACATACACATCATCGACATACACAGACTCGGTAAACGTCAGCTAAATCTACGGGACATAAATGTACCTCTGAACCCCAGATTCCGATGCTACTCCTGGATTGTCAAACTCAAGACGAAATTGCTTCTGGTATATTGTTCTGTTGGACTTAAGCATTCTATTGCTGAGGCTACAGGAGTACTTTGGGTACTCATTCAAAGGGTCCTAATCTCTAAGACTACCAATTTCTGGAGGAACTCACGGAGAGAAGTACTAACTAAAACTAAATTTTATTCTTGTCTTGGACAATGGGTTTTAGGTGTACAGAATACAACAATATAGGAGTACTAGTTAGCTGGAATACTGCAGTCATCACTCAGTTGTTTCTAGTATTGTCTCTAGTATCATTTTCGCCGCCTTCTCTGCAACCATGATGGTCGGTGCGTTTGTGTTCCCATACAGTATGGTCGGCATTACGAAGGCGTCCATGACTGGCAGTCCAAAAACACCCTTCACCCTGTAAATAAGTGACAGAACCAATTAACCTTTTCGGCCATATCGTGACTAAAACAGGAAATACGTTAACAACAGATAATATTAGAGTATAAAATCTGTCGACAAAGGACAGTAAAGCAACTAGAATATCACAATTTGAGAAATTAAAACTAGCATTTAAAATTATGACTATTTGGGACAATTCAATATAAAAAACGGTCTATAGATCGCAAACAACTAGAGGTAGATCACCATACTAGGGACAATGGGGCTAACAGTGCTTTTGCTACCTGCACAGACCCGGGATTTACACCAAATGTGTCAATAGTTGATAAAATATTGATCCCTTGCGATGGAAAATCAATACTGAAGCAGGACATAAGGGAATATAAAAATGGAGGATCCGCACCTTTCAATAAATACTCATGAGTATACCTGTTGTGGCCCATGCGACATCTTCACATAATGTAATCGATAAAGGTGTAAGGATGTAACATCTAATGGCAGGTTTATAATCAATGTGTGGGATAAGAAGTAGTGTCACATATTTGTTGAGTGCTGCTTTAGCTGCAACATCAGTCATTGTGTTACCAACGATTCCAACATGGCTGGGTAGCCGACATATGTCGTATTGGCCAGTAGCAAGAGTATTAAATAATTCAATAATTTCAAATAAAAGTAGATGATATGCTTTTAATAGTTTTAAGGCACGTTAGCGAGTCTGAAAATAATATATATAATGGTTATGTTTGGGAAGTTTATTGATATGGCGTTTGCCTCGGCTGTGAAGAGGGAGCTGTTATCCGGTAATCTAGAAGATATTGTTCTGGATTCAATGACAGTGGCACAAGCCACTGGGCCACCATCCTTGGGACCATCTGCAAGTAAAGACTTATGATGTAATTCGTTCGTTTCTTATTTTTAAATGTTGTCAGTGTTATGTCAACTGGTAGCCTCACCAATTGTCAGGGAGGAGAAGAAAGCATGCGGGAAGGAAATATATTATCCAGGTCAATGCCAGCAGCAGAAAGGAAAGTTTTGACTCTTATTCCTTGAGGCGTTACACGAAAAGACTTCTTGTACAAATCCTCATAGAGTGGATTAAAAACACAGTTATATGGTCCACAGAAACTCCTGTAAATAGAATATACTGCCAATAGAACTGTATCCTGTACATACTGAAACATGTCACAATGTGTATGTGAACGCTTATTTGGGGTGAAAGTGGATAGTTAGCCATTATGTCCATCAAATAATTCCTCAAGAATTGTTAACTTCGTCTCGTGAAACTTTACTGAAAATTCAATTCAAAAGTATGGAAATATATCTTATTCTACCATGTCTACGTGATATACTCGAATTTGACTGGACAATCTATAAAATTAGACACTATCAATTTGGATTGAAAATGCGTCTGATTTCATGACCGCTTCACTGCGAACATTTACAACACTGCCGCACTATTTCAGCTTGTCGACCAGCATGGCCAATTTCAACACAACAGGCGTGATGGAAATGATAATAAAACTCGAGAATTACAATTATGTGATTTTTTTGTCCTCCACAGTTATTAGGGATCCTCACTATCAGATTACCTTCTATTATAAAATATTCAAATCGTAGGTCGATCAGAAAAAGATCTATTCTTCGATTTTGCAGGGTTCAGATTTGAGGGTCAGTCAAGTATTTTCTCCATTGTCACTTCATTTCAACCTTTCGCAAAATGTGACAAAATACTGACTCATCTGCCATTTCAAACTGTTGCGTAACTGTCAACAACTATTTCCAAGAAAATAAGTAGGTCAGACGATTCCATTATAGTGTTGTCAGGGGGGTACAGTACCATGGCACACAAAATAATAGGTTGGTGTGGGCCGTGTGTAGGTGGGCTAATAAATACCAAGCTCTTGTGTATTACAATATTGCATTGAATAACAGTAGTTTGTTTTCTTTGGGCAGAATAGTTTAATGTTGCAATGTTAAAAAAAACATACTATTCACACTTTGCTAAGGAACAAATCATGGATTCAACAGAATATCTAAGCGTATTGTAAGCATTGATCCTAGGTTTCAGTATGTCATTTC